ATGTACTGTCCCAAGCTTTGGGGGTTTGTACAGCTGTTTTCAGAGATACATCTAGGGACCTAGAGATACTTCAGTTCTTCCAAGGTGGTATGATAAGGGGCGAGGTGTTTCCTCTCCACCACCACAACAAGCTCCACCACACCAGCACTCCTCCTCACCCCAGAACTGCCCCTCAGAACTGTGACCCAGATCCAAGCACGGGCAAAGCAAGAGATTCCTGCCTCAGCACTGGCAAAGAGATCCCTGCAATCCCCCTCTGATCAGCCACTCAATTCCCCCTCAGTCTGTGGGCTGGAAGCTCAGGAGGCAGCCGCTGCCCCAGGCCACACTCCGGACTTGTGGCTGAGACCTAGCTTCTCTCTCACCATAGTCACAGACTTTTCCCACTGACCTTCTAAGTTGTCTTTGGCGTTCATGGGTTGAGAAGCCTGGAAACCACCACAGCTGCCTGCAATTCAGTCCTCTCAGGCCAGGGTCACTGCGGCCTGCTCACCCACGCCAAACTGCGCTCCTCTCCCAGCCCAGCGCGATATGCCTTTTCAATCAACCCTCCAGGTTGTCTTGGCCTGGAAATTTGTCTCACTCTGGTTTTTTGTGGGTTCTGCTGCTATAGAATTTGTTTAGAGCCATTTTTTTACAGGTATTTGGAGGGGTTTGGGGGAGAGCTCAAGCAAGTCACTGCTTTCACTCTGCCATCTTGGCTCTGCCCCCTGTAGACCATGTTTTATCTAAATAATGAATTTTCTTGGTGCTCAGCATTATGTTCTACACACAGGAGGCAATTATGTATGCTGAGTGAAGAAATAAGTAAATCATTTTGGAATGGAGGGCTTACTTTAAAGTAAAACAGATACACCAAATATAAAAGCCACATATAGAACTAGATATACTGCCCTCCACTGCTCTTCTTTAAAAAACAAAACAAAGCAAACAAAAAACATTTTTACTGATTTTTTTTATATTATCTAAATTTACCCCTATATACCTCCCCTACCCAGAGAGCTCCTGCTTAAAGAATTCTTCCTTTCCATTCTTTAACCTAACTTCCCTATGACTTTAACCTCAAGCCCTTGTCAAATATACCTGATAATAGACATATTTCCCCTGAATGCTCGTTCTCAGTCTCCTTTG